AAAAGAGAGAGAGAGAGAGAGAGAGAGAGAGAGAGAGAGAGAGAGATGCAGGGTAGACGAACGTACATTGCACGAGCACAATATATCCGCGTGATTACAATATGTCGGGGCTCGAGAGACCAATATCAACCTGAAGTCGGCTCAGCCAATGCTGATAATCCCTATTGTTGATGCCTCCACTCGACTGCTTCTCGCGCACGGATACATCTTGTTTCAAAATTTCGAATGGCTCCGCGGCGCGGCGTATGTACCGCATATGCAATATTCCGGCGGGGAATGTTCTCGCGCGCGCGATGGAAAATTCCCGCCGGGATGGATCCTTGCCGGGCGATTCCGAGCCGTAAGTTGAAGACGCGGAATTGAACACAGGGAACTATCTTCTCCTGCTTTCGGACAGGCGTGAGGAAATTTTAACGAGGCCACTTCTCCACCTTTGACTTTCGAGATTCTCGCGAGAGCATCTTTGATGTAAAAATCTCTGGGAACACTTTACAAAAGTGCACCTGCTCGTTTTTAATGAGCCACTCGAGTGCAGCTGTGGGCTAATTGAAATTGTGTGGAAATTTCGATTGATTTCTCACTGGGGACGCAATCAGCTGTATTGCGGTGTCCCATTAAAGAGTTTATTCATTACGTATTTTCAGAACACCCAAGGGATGTATTTCAGTAATTAATGTATCAAGGAAGAGCTGCTCGTTAATTCACCACTTATTAAACAAAATTATTAAATTTGCACTTTTATAAATTTATTTCACTAATTTATTTCACTATCTCAATAATAAATGTTAATTTCAAACTAATTTCATGATACTTGGCCACGTTTCACTTAGTACGTTACTCAAAGCATAAAACTCAATGCAGTTTTCTAATCTGCAATCGATTATTATACAAAAATTGTGTAGTGAATACTCTTCCTTTTATACTCCGTTTTATAATATGTAACATTTATAACAATAAGTTTTCTATTCGAATAGTATTATTTTTCACAAACATTTTACATTACAAATAATAATACACAAAATCTTACATTGCAACGGTCATCTATAGAAAAGATCGGATCTAGATGGTATGTTGCTCATGTGCTCTTTTTAATATTCGTCTTAGGAGGAACAGTGAATATTTTTTCTCATGTGGTTTTCTTAGTGCATTACTGGACAATTGAACCCGGTAAGATAGCAAGATCACGTATTTTGGTTATTACAAAACAAAATATACAATTAACAGACACGTGGTAGATATTAACACATAGAAAAAGGCTGTCTCTGTCATGTTTGTACTGTCAGTAACAAACATTATTTGTCTGAAAAACTATAACTTCGAAATTCTCAGATATAGGATATCTAGTCCCGGTCTCTCTTATTGTTTTTACCACAAAGAGATATGCGCAAAATTGCGACATTCATTATTGAATTTCTCATGAACGGTGCGGACAAGTCGCACGAAACCTTAACAACTAGTCTAATAAATGTTAGTTTTTGCACAATTTTAAGAATTTTGCTTGAAAGGAATAAACTCCTTAAGAGATCGACCGTTTCTGCGCCGGTACACGCGAGCAGATCGCGTTAAAAGAGAGGTCGGAATGGCGAATATGCGGACGATGAAAGAAACGAAACCTGTCCTCGTCGTTTATGCTCGGTGTTGGCAAGCCGCAAGTCGCCTTTCACACATCCCACACGAAAGACGACGACGATGATGACGACGACGACGACGACGATAACGACGACGACGGTGGTGGCGGCGGCGGCAATGACGACGACGAAGCTCGGCGTCTTTCTTTCAAAACAATTACGCATTCTTCTATGCCCGTTCTCCCACATCGGCTCTATCGTCTTGTCGCAATATCGCCGGAGTGCGCTTTGCCTCACAACCTTTCTTTCCTTCTGTCTGCCTGCTTGCCTGCTTGCCGTCTGCAGGGCGACGAAAGAGACTCGCGGATCACGGCGAATGCGCGATTTACTCGAGGAATTAGCATAAAGAAAGTGTCGCTGTTAGGTGTGTTCCCATTTGTCGCGGCTGATTTATCTGCCGCGATCCGGTGATTACCGTATTTGTAAAAGAGCCATCGGGAGTACGGAGAAGTCGCGACAGTTTCTCCAGCGAGTCGCACTCGTTCATTCCGGTTGTCGTTCGCGACGGTTTTTCCGAGCTTCTCTTGCGCGTGTTGTCGATGTCAGCCGTGCGATTTTTCTTGCGACATCGGACTGCGAAGTGAGGCTTCTGTTCGTTTGTGTAACCGTGCCGTGTGCAGCACACGCTCTCGTACAGTCGCGCGTTTTATATTGCAATTAAATCATAGCTAGTGTAATCGCGTTTCCGTCGAATTATTGCTACTCTGATGGAGGCTTGCTTGAATAAGCGCCAATATATTACGCTATATTTGTTGCTCGCATTATATAAACCTCCCTCTTCTCTCTATCTCTCTTTGAAATATGCAAGTGTTCACTTAGATGCTATGCTACAAATTTATGGAACTCTCTGCCATTCAGAGTGCGAAATGCACGTACTCTGGAGAATTTTAAAGCACTTTTTTATGATTTGCTCTTAAAGAGTAGTGCTTTGTCTATAATTTAACTTTGCTTATATGGATCTTACGCATTGTCCTTATCTGACTGCTATGTCTACTTGACCATTTTTTATTTCTAGTCATGGTAAGATGTTTTCCAGATATATTGGAATATTATCGGAATATTATCGGAATATTATAATTTTCTTTTTATAGTTTAAAAGTTATAATTTGGCTATTAAGTATATAAGTTCATCACTAATTTAAAACATAGATTTTAAAGTATATAAGTTAAGTATATAAGTTATAATTTGGCTATTAAGTATATAAGTTCATCACTAATTTAAAACATAGATTTTAAAGTATATAAGTTAAGTATATAAGTTATAATTTGGCTATTAAGTATATAAGTTCATCACTAATTTAAAACATAGATTTTTATATATTCTTTGCGCGTGCTTGAGAGGAATCTTCCCAGAGCGTGAAATAAAAAAAAAATATATATATATATATATATATATATATATACACATACACGTACACACAAAATAAAAAATTTTATAAAAAGTTTTAGATTTTAAATTGGGTGTATGACAATATGACATTCTCATCTTACATCAAAAATTAAAAATACGATTCGCGTCAGACATTTAAAACAATTATTTACATTTATGTTTCGAAGTTGTTGGAGCGCCATGCGAGCTTATTTTACTTCGATATACGGAATAATAGACGCTTCTCGAGTCTCATTATATTTTAGTATTGCGCGACAAGACCGAGAGTTCGTGGGCTGTCGGAAGGCTGAAAACAAGTGGCTTGTGCCATCAAGATTGTTTCTGTCATGACTTTCCCTTACCGTTCTCCCGGCAATGCTATCATATACCCCATTCACCTTGCGAGCAGTCATCTCGATTTACGATCCCTCCGCTCTCATCTTCGTGTGCACAAAAGAGCGCACGACAGGTTTCCCATCTCTCGCGTGTTCGCTCCACGGGAAATATTTCACATTCGGGCGCAGGTAACGGAACGACGCGTCATCGGATGGCTTCGGCGTGTTTTTTTGAAATTTCAAGGTGGGATATTAGTAATAAATATGCTGACGATCACCCACTGGGAAAAACATGTTTGGTACTTGTAATCATAATCGCATAGAGAAATAATTACTATAAATTATGCTCAAAAAAATATAAATATAAATATTTATAAATATAAATATTTATAAATATAAATATTTTTTCTTTATTAAATTCTACTACGTCAGTGATATCTTATG